ATATGAGTAGAGGTACATCCCCTCCAATATGGAGGATATTTTGACCTGGGTTCAGACCTGGATGCATTTATGACAGTCATCCAGAGGGCAAAGACCTGAGATCAAAAGTCTCAGTGTTATGACTAATGCCTTCCTTTGAAGTGGTTCATGTGATAGGGCAGTCACCAGCAGATTTCTTGGGGAAGCGGTGGATTTAATAAATGACTCAACAGAGAAGCCTCCATACATTGCTGTACTCTGACCGGCTAACGGAATTAAACATTAAAAATTAAAAATTAAAATTAAAAATTAAACAGGGAGAAATCAGTACAAATGTATTACAACCAATTAAAAAAAAAACCCCACAGTTAATCCATTAAGAAAATGAATCTTCTTTTGCAGTGGGGTGGTAGGATTCTACTTACTGCCACTTTTATATTATTTTATTATTTATGCTTTCTTCTTCTTTTTTTAACCCTTCCTTTCTGTCCAGAGGGCACTTACTCCAGTAGTAACAAAGAAAAAAAAAGGGGGAAATGGATTGTTCTGGCAGAAAAAGCCAAGACTTTACTAGGGAAAACTGATTCTGGAGCATGTAAACACATGATTCACAATTCAGCACAGAATTAAGCATGCCATATTCCATGTGATGAATATATAAAGCCTGTTTTGGACTGTGGCCATGATATCAGAGGGAAGAAACTGAAGGTGAGGCAGAGGACCTACCTTGGACTTAAATGTAGTGTAATTTTTATTAAAATGCAGTGTTAATTCTTTTTGGGGCAAAAGGTCACCCCACGTCTTACTGCAAGAGTTTTCTCAAAGCTTCCGATTGAACTGAACCGAAGGTGCTTTTCCAAAAGGCAACTGGACTTTCTTTGTTTTTTCTTTGAAAAACGTTTGAAGAAGCTCATCCAAGGAGCTTCTTCAGTTCTGACTGAATGGTGAGGAATGGAGGGATTTATGTTCCTAGTAGTAATAAGACTGAAAATCGGGCTTGTCAGATGCTATATGAGAGTTGGTCTCTGGCAGAAGGCCATCTGAAGAGACTAGAAGCATTTGAAATGTGGATCTACCGGCTGTTACATATAAGCTGGGTTGACAAGATCAGAAATGAGGAGGTGATAAGCCGCCTGGGAAAGCCAAGGGAAATCATCAAAACAATTAAAAAACGAAAATTAGAATATTTCAGACATGTGATGTGACACCCAGAAAAATACGGAATACTCCATTTAATCCTGCAGGGGAAGATTGAAGGCAAACGAGGTCCAGGCAGAAGAAGAACATCGTGGCTCCAAAATCTAAGGGACTGGTTTGGACAAAACTCAGCAGCACTTTTTCGTGCGGCTGCTGATAAAAACAGGATCGCCAACATGATCACCAACGTCCAATAATGGATATGGCAGAAGAAGAAGAAGAAAAAGAAGAAGAAGAAGAAAAAGAAGAAGAAGAAGAAGAAGAAGAAGAAGAAGAAGAAGAAGAAGAAGAAGAAGAAGAAGTAGAAGTAGAAGTAGAAGTAGAAGTAGAAGTAGAAGTAGAAGTAGTAGTTGTAGTAGTAGTATTGTAGTTGTTAGTACTCTGAAGGTTGATCATTAACTCTCTGATAATTGTTGAGGGGTTTATTTGTGCTAACAACCAGATGACCACAAGGAATATAAACCATTCCATTCCCCACCATCCAGTCAGAACTGAAGAAGCTTCTTGGATGAGAAGCGAAATGTCTTCAAAGGAAAAAAAAAACAAGAAAATCCAGTTGCCTTTTGGAAAAGCACCTTTGGGACAACCATGACCTGGATGACTGAAGATCTCCATAGACATTTTCCTATTGAATTGTGTTGGGCAATCATGAATTACATCTATTTCACCTCATGATTTTTTGTTCTCCAACCCATTGCTTTCTGGGTCCTGATGTTTTCCCTTTTTTGAGCCTAAACAATATAGACTTGCTAGACAAAGATGGGGAGGAATCCGCTAAGGCTTAGAATAGTCCATAACCTTCCCTCAGATGTTAAAGTAAATTGTTATACAAAGTCTAAAAATGTGTTTCAAGGGTCTTCAATCTTGGCCCTTTTATGACTTGTGGACTTCAACTCCCAGAATTCCTCAGCCAGGCACTCTGGCTGAGGAATTCTGGAAGTTGAAGTCCACAAGTCATAAAAGGGCCAAATTTGAAGACCCCTGATCTATTTCATAAGCCAAAGCCTTTTTAGACCTTGGATAACAAAAGTCATAGTGGTGTAATGGTAAGAATGCAGCATTGCTGGGTAACTCTGCCCACAGCCAGACGTTTGATTCTGACTGGCTCAAGGTTGACTTAAACTTCCATCCTTCTGAGACCAAAATAAGGACCCAGATAGTTGGGGCCAATATGCTGACTTTGTAAACCACTTAGAGGGGGCTCTAAAGCACTATAAAGTGGTATATAAGTCTAAGTGCTATTGCTATTAGCATTAGGACCACTTTTTTCCCTTCACTAAATTGTCAAAATTTCTGATGTAATGAAGAGAAAACCGTCTATACAAAAAAAAATTCAGATGGGGCAACGGTGGCTTACAAATCCTGCCAATTTCAAAGACAAGGTTATTGTAAATCTGAATTTCTCATAAACTCTAGCTTGTATAATCCCTGAATTTCCACTTGAATTCAGATGATCCTCCAGCATAAGGTAAATCTGGTACAATAACCTTACAAGTTATCCCATGCCTCATGTGTGGATTCCCTCAGTAGATCTGAGAGGTAAAGATGTGAGGACAGATAAGAAACATCTAACTCAGGATTTGCATTTGAGATCGCTTTCAAACAACACTTGAACAAACTTGTGGCAAGAGGGAGTAACTGTAGTAATAAACAAACAGAAAATTAAATGCATAGAGGCAGAATCTATATGAATAAAATTCCTAGCGAACAACCATCGGGAAGGGCTGTTCCTATCCTGGTTGGTGGGCTTTTTCGCTGGTCCCTGTTGAAAAAGGGAAACTGGAGCAAGAATTGCCTTCATCTGATCAAGTCAGGCTTTTTGTCCAGTGCCAGTATGAATATATATACAATACAGGGACAAATGGACAGGAAGAGACTTAGTAAGAAGTCAATTTTTACTGCTTCTTTCCCATTAAACATATGACTGATTAAATAGATTCTGATGAATGGGTAGCATTATCTGACTAACCTTGTAAGGCTCACCAGCTAAGTAGAGACAGACCTGGTGAGACTTATTTGAAAGTCAAAAACCATCCCAGCAAGCCATCACAATATTATTGATATGAAATCTGTATTGATGTGGTCAAGGAATCACCAGGAGATGACTTCAGTTGAGGGAAATTTAATCTTCCCCCTTATGTTCAGTCCCTGCTATGCAGGGACCAGCTATTTGCTTTTCTGACTTGAGAACAAATGGATGAACATCAGATTAAATAATAAATATTGAACATATTTGATAATGTTAGTCTGAATACTTGGGCTATTGATATCTCGGTGTTTACATTTCCCTCTTGATTTACACTGCTCCTTCCTTAGGTTGCCTCTAAAGATCCCACAAGGAATTTCTGCCAAGTCATATGAAATCCTGATTCATTTGAGTGGCATAGCTGGCCAGCTGTTTGTGGTGAGGGTATGTCATAGTACGTGTCAAAAAGAGCTTGCCATCTGTCATGGAGTTTAGGCCTGTTCTTCGTCCAGCTGCCAAATCCCTTCACCCTGCGCCATGGACCTCCAGATACAAATTAAAATATTCCAACCATTTGTCCATATTTGGCTATTGGAAAGGAGAGGCTCTCCACGGTAGGGCCGCAGCCCACACTGTTGCTACTATTAATGTATTGTGGTCATTTCAATCCAGGATCTCACCACTAAAACTGCTGTTCTCAGAAGCAACTGTTTTATTTCCCTCTTGGACAGTTGTGCAATGCTAATGATAGAAACCCCAGCCTGTCTCTTGCTTATTATTCTTGCAGTTTTGAGGAAATCTGGATTATTCAATTATTGTCAGCCCAGCTTTTGTTGGCTTTCAAGCATGAATCACAAGAAAGGGGAAAAGTTCTTCTTCAGAAGAAGAACAAAATCCAGCTCTTGGAATACTTCAAAAAAGAAACTTTTCTGAGGATATGGGAGTCTTGCCCTCCCTGCCTTTCCCAGGGCAGAATCCCAAGTTGCTATTGGCTGGCAAATCCCATCCTCCCAGCCAACAGGCTTCGTGATCAAAGCTGCTGGGATTAGCCAATTAACAGCTGAGCTTCCATTGTGATGGATCTTTTGCAGTTCTCTTCCAACACTGGAAGTGCTGCGTAGCTGGAATCTAGGCCAGATCTCCCTCGGAGTCAATTCATGATGGCGACTGGTTTTGAACTCAACAGCAGAGTCATAGCAATATAAATCCAAATTTGGATGGTAGTTGAACTATAACTCCCAAGCGCTGGGACAAGGATGTATGTGTGTGTAAAATGGCTTAGCGGTTAAAGATGCTCAGGTTGTCAGCTGGAAATCTGACAGCTCGAGTTCGTGACCCGAGCGCTGCGCAGCAGGGTGAGCTCCCATATATTTCCCCTGCTCCTGTCAATCTAGCATTTTGAAAGCATGCAAATGCAAGTAGATAAATAGGTACCACTTTGGTGGGAAGGTAACAGCATTCCATGCGCTTTTGGAGTATAACCATGGCTTTCTTGGCCAAGTAACAAGAGATGAGCACTGTGCCCTTAGGTCAGACATAACTGGACAGGGAAGCCTTTATGTTGGGACAGGTTGAGTGTGGAGCCCAACAATCATGGTTTTTTAGGAGTTTGGGAGTACTGTTTTAGCATGCTAGGAGTTGGGGGAGAGTTGAATGTTGGTTTTTATTGCCTTTATGTCCTTACCACTGCTCCTGTGACCCAGCTATGGCTCATTAGATCACTGGCCGTATAAGCCTCTTAAATAACTAAACTCTATGAAAACTCTGATTGTTCTGGATTCTCGGGACCCATCTACCACCTTCTCTGAGTTCAGTCCAATAATAAATTCCTCTTTCTCTCTTTTGCTCCCTCCCCTAGGAGAGAAACCGTACAAATGTACCTGGGAAGGGTGCACGTGGAAATTTGCTCGCTCAGATGAACTAACAAGGCACTACCGCAAACACACAGGAGTGAAGCCGTTCAAGTGCGCAGACTGTGACCGAAGCTTTTCCCGTTCAGATCACTTGGCATTGCACCGCCGAAGGCACATGTTGGTCTGAAAAATGCTACCTTGTCTCTCTCTATATATATAAATATATATATATGAATATATATATATATATATATATATATATATATATATATATTCATATATATATATATGAAATTTCAAGAGCTGGGTCTCTTTTAACTACAGTGCATTCAGCAGGACTGAATCCTGTTTTGATGGTGTTAGCACAAAAGGGGCAGTCGGTGTTGTCCCACATTCACAAAGAAGCAGGAACAAGAATGCTACAATCTTCCCTCCCACCCTAAGCAGGGGTCCAGCACAGGCCCAAGGCATCACCTTTTGCTGGGGATAAAAGCCGAAATGCATCAAGATTGGGCATTATTTTCTAACCCGCTGTCGTTTTCAAAGTATTTATGGCTTGGTTTTTTTCTCTCTCTCTCTTTCAACCATCCCACTTTTTTCTCCTGAAGAATTTCTGCTATTTCGAAGACTGGATGTCATAAACCCCGTCGAAAAGGACAAGTCCTCAAGAGCTTTCTCTTCGTTTACTGCTGCTTCTTCTTAATTTTTTTTTTTATTGTTGTTGTTGTTGTTGTTGTCATTATTAATTTTCCCCCCTGTTAAAACACTGCAGAATATCATCCTGCCCAACAATTTCCTAAGCCAGCTGAACAGACTGGAAAGAGAAGGGATTTTTAAAAAAATGAAGCTCCTTTGAAGTGAAAAAAAAAAAAGATTTCTCAGCACACTTATGCAATAAAGATGGTGGTATTTGTACATATTTACCTCTTTCTTGTTATGCTGGACTTTAGAGGCCATTAATGCTTCTAAAACTTCCTAAATCTTTTTTTCTTTTCTGGTTTTTTTTTTTTTTTTTGCTGGAATCTATAAAACAGGCATCCGTAAAAATTTCTGTACAAAATTACCCGTTTTATATCCGTTTGCTTACTCTATAATAGAAAGAGTTCGTTAAAATGGTCTTGGAAAACGTAATAGAACCAAAATTGGTCCCACCCTTTCTGAACCAATGTATCAGTCCTCAGCATATTTCCCTGAAAGTAACAGATGTTCAAACGTCCATCTCTTATTCTTGGATTGCTCAGTAGTTCATTCACCACGGCACAGGCAAAGTAACTCCATGGATCAGTCCTGTCTATGCATTGGCATGATAAGCCTTCTATTCTATGGGAGTGGATCCTTCATCGGAACGGGATGACTCATCACGGCCAACTCGCTACGGGACAATTCAACAATTCAATTTAATTATTTAAAACAGTTTAAACAATACTTTAATTTTTGCCATTCACATTTCATTCGGTCCCTTCTTTTGCATCCTGTCTTTGATTTATTCTGTTCCACCGTTTCTTTGATATTAGTGTAACTCTTGTCCCGCGGCGAGTTGGTCATGGAGAATTGTCCTAGACCAGGGGTAGGCAACCATGGCTCTTTTATGACTCATGGACTTCAACTCCCAGAATTCCTGAGCCAGGAATTCTGGGAGTTGAACTTCACGAGTCATAAAAGAGCCAAGGTTGCCTACCCCTGTCCTAGACCCTCTTTAATGGTTCACTCTCACATGCTCATCCATTAATTGATGCTATAATTTGTACAGGCTCTGTGTGTGTGTGTTTGTGTGTGTCTCTCTCTCTCTGTGAATTCTCCCATTGAGTTGACCCCTGTGGTAGAATTTTGCTTAGGATTGTAGCGCCTAAGTTTTGACATCCCCTGTGACCAAAAGGGAATTTAATGCATCAGAATAAAGAAGAACATTGAGAAAGAATTTCAAGAGATCTCAAAGTACTTCCCGTTCCAAAATGAAGGTCTGGCAAGAAAAATTTTAAATTAACTCAATGGAGTTATGATAGGGGGCCAGTTGAGACTTAGTCATCGTTAATTTCAGTTGGGCTGGGCTGAAGCCAAGGTGGTTAGACAAACAATCACTGTCAGGCATTCCTGAAATAGGTAGGGGGTGATGGGGCCAGTGGTTCCCCATGGATGTCAAGGAACCATTTTTAGAGATGGTATAAATTGATTCCAAAGGATTTTAGAAGGAAGTGAAAGAGTGGGCGTCCTTCTCCTGAAATCTCCCTAAGAAATGCCAACCATTGCACCTGTTTTGGTCATCCAAGCTAGAAGCGGCTGCTTCCTTGCTGTAGATACAACAGATGAGGCAGACTGACATAAATGAGTAAGCATTTTGTGGGCCACTGTGTCTAGGTAACTAATATGAACTGACAGTTCTGGTTTTTCATTGTTAATTAAGATGGTTGACAATCAAGTGATAACCATCTGTTCATATAATTGGGATTTGGGAAATAGTGTAGAACAGGGGTCCTCAACCTTGGCAACTTTAAGACTTATGGACTTCAACTCCCAGAATTCCTCAGCCAGCAAAGCTTGAAGTCCACAAGTCTTAAAGTTGCCAAGGCTGAGGACCCCTGGAGTAGAAGGAATGGGTGACCAACTCATACATACACCCACCACAGCTCAAATACATATGTGCATATATACACCATCAACCCATAGTTCTTTCATCTGAGCTGCTCACAAGACTTGTGGGCCTCAATTCCCAGAATTCCCTAGCCAGTGTGACTGAGGAATTCTGGGAGTTGAAACTCAACAAGAGTTGTTTTTGTGCCTCCCAAAATACAAATTGCCTTTGTAGAGCTGAGGTCTTTTGAGCTAATATCTAAAGAAGAAAGGTGTGATCCTGTTCCTATGGAAGATTTGCTCACTAGGAACATGGATTTCTCTTCTCTTTAATGAGAAGAGACTGATGCTGTGGTCCATCAAACATTCCTCTGTGTTTCTTTTCTCTTTTCATAGAAGAAAAATAGGAAGGAAACTCAATTGCTTAATTTTTATTTAGAGATATTTCGTGAGCATTTAATCAGGAAGCTTTGTTTCAAATCTGCATAGATTAATCTCATCGGGTCACATCCGTTTATCTCATAATTAATAGGAAATGATCTTTCGAGTTGTATTGGTCCTTGAAAAGCAACAGTTGCCCGAACAGGTTAGATTAAAATATGCATATCAAACAACAGAGTCACAATTTAATTGCGACCCTGTAATTCAACAAATTAAATAAAATAAAATCATTAGCTTTCATATTCTCCCTGCTGCGTAGTTGACAATTGACAATTTCTAAAGGAATTAGACGGGAGGATGTGGATTTTTTTCCCCACAGTTTTCTGCTTCCTTCTTCCTCAATACCAAGTCAAAGACAAAGGATGCAAAGACCAGCCCATCATCAGCTAGTGGTTTCTGCTCATGCTGGTTCATAGATCTTCCAAACTGGGACATAGTTTAGTTTTAGAGACCTAACAGCCTCATCATGTCCTACCTGAGCACAGGCAACCTTTGGAAACAGGCTGCTGGGACTGTTTATGAAGGTCATTAGTTGACCTTCATAGGGCTGTTCAGTGCTTCATATTCAGCCTCCAAGAGGGGCTTCAGAGAGCACAGGAATTCCACCGTCTGCCCACCTGGAAACACCTGGATCCAGCTGACTCAAGGTGTGGCAGGCAGGAGTAACATTCACAACCCCCAACCCTTTTCGGGGGATGGAATCCAAAGCACTGAACAGTTCTGATACTCCTCTTAGATGTCAGAACAGGGAAATTTTGGGAAATGGACATGTCTAATTCCGAGGGAGGACTGTTGAGTGGGAGCTATTTTGACTAATCAATATTATAAGGATTCTTTCTGACACCTGTTTCTCTTGTTCGTTTGCTGTTGTTCCAATATCCATGGATTTTATTTCATTGCGGATTCAACGTAGAAAGATTTCCTTCGTACAACCCTTTTAATGCCAGTGTCATCTCCCATATGCCATTTTATTCACTGATCTATTCTGATGGTTCAATCAGTTTCAGTATTGGAAGTTTTCCGTGAGCAAAGACAGTGTTATTCTCTTAGGCAGATTAATTAGCAGGCAAGCAAATTGCCTTCACAAAGGAAAGTGTGGAGGTGTTGAGTTTCTTTTGTTAGCACTACTGTTAAAAGTAGTTCACTGTCAGAATAAAATTCCATTAGGAATGACGACATGATGCAACGACATCCCTTTGCTTATCTGTTTGTTAAAACAGAAAGGGGGAAGTCTCTTTTTCTCTGTTATGCTGCAGATGGTTACATTGCTTCAAAGGGAATTAAAAACCATGTTGTAAAACCTCGCGCAAAACTTTACAGGTATAAATTGGGTTATTTGGTTCAGAATTTGCAATTTTCAGAAACGTTCCTGTGTATGAATACGTTCTCCTGTTCAGAAATTACAGCTGTTAAACCCCACTTGTTGTTGTTGTTTTAATGTACAGATTTAAAAAAATAAATTATGATGGAATGCTAGCACATGGAACCCCACAAACCAAAATGTTTGTGGGGTTGTTTCAAGGCATATGGAAGGAGTATTCAAGGTCTGTTCTCCTTCGTCATATTGGGCCAGAAAAAAAAAATCACCATGCCTGTCCGTTGACTCTGGGGAAAATTGATACATTCCAGAGCATCGTGGTACATGGTCAATATCTCTGGTGTGCAGAGGTAGATTGAATGTCCTACTGCTTGCTAGGCATACTGGAGATTCAACCTATAGGTCCGTGAATGCACCCTGAGACACCCCGTCATTACTGGACAAATGTTCACCATAGGGATGCAATTTCCCGAGCAAACAGAAACCAACTTATCCAATTATGCCATATCCGTGGGGGCCCAGGCAAGGAAGATCAGACTGATGAAAGCAGATTTTATTGCATCATAATATAAGCTCACCCCCCCCTTTCCTGCATCAACAGCGGCCTGTCCAAAGTGGGAGGAGTCTCTGCTGATGAGAGGAGTGAGATCTTACCGGTGCCGCTCTGAAGCTGCAAACTTAAGTTAGTCCCAACGCAATGCGGCGTTGCATTCTTGAGCTCATTACCTCATTTGATCCCCTTATTTAAAAAGTATCAAGCACTTTGCAAACGGCCCAGAGCAATTTCAGAGTTAAGAAGCAGTGTTCATGCATTGTGTTTACTTGAATGAAATAATCAAATTGATCTGATATCAAGGGCT